CCTCCCCAGCTTCCAGAACTGGAGCTTAGTTTAGAGCGGTCTTCTTGTATACATGTATCCTAGATGATTTTTAACATTATTTCCGGAAAGTTCTTTCAACTTGGTATTGTGATGTAGCAAGAAAAAGGGAACATGGGAAATAGGGAGAAAATAGAAGAAACTAGAGGCAGAGAAAGAAAGAAATAGGAGAGCAAAGAGAAGTTGACATTCGGCAAGAAATGATACAAATAAGACATCTAAGATCTCAAACTCTTAATAACAATAAAATAATCAATCATAGGACTTCAGAAACTTCCACAGAAAAACAAAAACAAGCTGTCTATGCACCCTCATAAAGAATGCTGTTATATAGGAAACTGAATTCTATCATTACCAAGGGTTTTCGCCCATTGGTCATGTCCTGCTCTCTCAAAATGGCAGGACTGAAGTTTGAATTATATACAAAGAAAAGATTATCAATAGGAAACTAAAACTACCCTCAAAATAGAAATTTGAATAAAATTACTAAATGCATTTTCTACGGCAGAAGCCAAAAAAACATTATCTACACTCCAATTTAACACAAAGGATAACTTATCAATAATATTTATCACTACAAATAATTCTTCCCTTGAGTTGTTTTCAGCTTTGAAAATATACAGTGACCGAACCTAAATAGTTTTCTGATAACCTTTTTTTTTTGAAGTAAAAAGAATAGTATGATCATAAATAGCTTTTTGATAACCAAACATAAATAATCAGCTAATTCTTAATACAAAAACATGTTTGAATCTAAACTGTACGAAATTTCACTGTGTTATTCCCTACTTTTTTGATCACAACTGTATGTTTGTGGAGAACCTGTTAAACTTTGTTTGAGTTGCACCATAGAAATATTCAAGTTAGAAAATTTGATTGTTTCCTGTCAACTTAAATCTTTAGGATAACACCCAACTAATTCTTAAAAGGTGTACTTGAAAGAAGAAGCTATTAGTGTTTCTGATAGACATACCCGTGCCTTTAAAGTTTTGACTTCTTGGCTCAAAGTGCCATTCATTTGCTTCAAATTATCACTGATTGATTCAGAAGACTGAGGTGTAAATCTTGCTGACGCAGGAGAGGTGGACCGAGAACTCATTGTCAAACTAGGAATGGTAATTGATAAAACTTTTTTTGCAGTTCCAACTGGAGAAGTTGATGCTTGACATGGAAAAAAGCACCCCAACTGAAAATTACCATTCATAGGAAGCAAGAGAATGCGATCATTTGATTCTACTCTCGAATCACTCCTGAGACGCCTACTTTCTGAGTGATTGACTGAATCAGCAGATGATGGTCTAGGGAGTTGGGCAAGTAATCCAGGACTTAGAATTTCTTTATCTGCTGGCTCAACAGATCTATGATGCTTGTTCCCATTTTTAACTTTAGAAGTTCGTCCAGCCAGACTAGATTCCATTGATTTTTTCAGTTTGACAAAACAGTCATCACACACTCGATATGGCTTATTCATGCTTGGAGCCAAAGAAGCTTTCAGGGATTTCTAATACTGCATGCTTTGCAGAAAACTAGCCCACAGTTGTAACAATTATGGCGTTTCTTCTGAAACCAAATGGATTACGACAACTGGAGCATATAGAATGATCAGCACTAGTTACTCGTTTATGGAGACATATAATGGCTGTAAAATTAGATCCGCATACTATACTCTTAACTTGCTTATCTTTAAAAAACTGAACAAGCGTAGGAGTATCTCTATCATCCATATCTCCATGGCCTAATTGTCCATTTGAACCCTTTCCCCAGGTATAGACTTCTGCTTTGGAAGTAAACACTGCAACATGGTAAGAACCACATGCAATATCTTCCACAAAATTATCTGCTATTTTACCTTCAACATGAGTAGGATACTTCCCGTCAAATTTAGAACTTCCCAGCTGTCCATGAACGGTACTCCCCATCGTATAGACTTGACCTGTATTTGTCAGAGCAACAGTAAGGTTATGTCCACAGGAAACTCGGCAGATATTTTCATCAACGAATGCATCGACACATTCAGGAACAAGTCTAGGTTCTTTGTCACCATGTCCAAGTTGGCCTTTATCGCCATTGCCCCATGTGAACAGGTGACTAGTGGAACTGGTAGCTCCAGAACTAGGTGATTCAATTATTACTTCAACAATCGCAGCAGTGTGCCATACACCACAAGCAACCCTTGTTGTCCGTAACCCTTTCAAAGTTTCTACTTCTCGTGGAATTCCTGTGCTGCTTAGATCTCCATGGCCAAGGGCGCCAAACGATCCATCTCCAAATGTAAACAACTGGCCTGTAGATGTCACAACTGCTGTATGCCAAGGTCCACAGGACACATATGATACATGTATACCCTCCATGATGCCACCCACTTTTTTAGGGATCCAGTGACTTGCTTCACTTCTGTGCCCAAGCATACCAGAGTTGTAAGTACCATCACCCCATGCATAAAGATCCCCGGAGAGGGTAACTGCACAAGTGTGATATTCACCACATGCCACTAACTCGATGTGCAAGCCGCTAAGAGTGTTTATGAGCTTTGGGTGGCTAACATCTTCTTCTACACCATGCCCCAGCCTGCCTCCTGATTCTTCCCCCCAAGTAAAGATCTCCCCCTTTTTGGTAGCCAACGCAGCATGTCTGCTACCACATGCAATATTGTGAACATCCAGAGACACTGTTGATTCTAATGCCTTTGGTAGAAGAGCATCTGTCTTGGAGTTATTTAAATTTCCAACTCTTTGTCCATCACCATCAAGCACTCCACCGCCAAAACCTTCTCCCCAAATGAAAACATCACCCACAGCATCAAAGTCTTCCCGGTATGAACCCTGACTTGATGAGCTTACAGCACTTGATAAACTCACTCGAGCAGCCTCAGCCACAGAAGTTCGAAAAGTTGAATTTGAATTCTCAACAGAACCCTGTGATAATGAGCTACTGGAATTAGCAACTGCATCTGTCTGATTGGAACCCTTGGCAGGTGCAGTTAATGCTATCACGTCGGAAAAAGCCTTCCCCAGTCTGTTCTGTGGAACACTATCTGAATGCACTTGATTTCCTTGAGCATCTGCCGAATCCTGTGGGAACTGAAAAAATTAAATTCCATAGATGGTCAATAGGTCATCATATCTTCAAAAACAACAGGGAGACAAAGGGGCTTTACTGACAAATGGTGTTTCAAATGAAGGACCAATTCTATTACGAGTTTTCGGACTTTCTGACGATGTGCTGTCACTTTTTATATCAATTCTCCACTTGCTGAAATTACCACGAGAAATCAATGCCTTCAGACCAACAAACCAAACTTCAGCTTCGTCCTTGTCTTTGCAAATCTGTCCACAGATTGGCATCAATGTCAATTAAGATATTTAAATTCTAATTACACAGGATGTGAATCCATTCTGGATATTAACCAGATAGAACTCTTGGAAGAGTAACATTATGGCATTCAGATTATAACGAGTAATTTGTCCTGAAATATATTACCACAAAGACTCACCAAGTCCAAGGACCTATCGCTGCATATAAGTGAAAACGACTGATACTCCTTTTCAGGACGAGGATATCGGTGGAATATTGCCTGAAAATAATTAAGTTGTTAATTTTATGAAAGGTTTGGGAATTAGATGATAGAGAACATTCAACTTAATTAAGAATACATCTATTTAAAGGATAAAAGCATATTTTGCAAACTTATGAGGTCAACATACCAAATGAATCTCCTCTAGTAACTTGATCTTTCAATTCATTTCAAGTGCATATTAAGAACTCATTAAGAGTTTGAAACAGTATTTCAGATGTATCTTGGAGGATACTTTCAAAACCATTAAATGGACAAGTATGTAGACGTAATAAAATATATAAACATGCCCACTAAGACAAACTTACAGTACGCTGTCCAGGAATAATCTTTAAAACTTGACTGATTTTAAGATGCTTCTCGTCTTTGCCAGAATACCATATCAATGTAGACTCATCCTGAAATAACCACAAATACTAAGTAATCAGAGAGAACTCCATTTTCTAATACTGTTTTTATGTAGGTAGAAAAACTTAAGGACTGAAACTTAGATGCCATATTGCATAAGAATCAGAAACCTTATTCACCCTAAACATTTTGAATATTTGCTTTACCTATTCACCCCAAAAAAACTTCTAGCCTTTTGTAATAGTTTTTTGACCCAATTCACACTAATGCTTTTCCACTTAGAACTGAATACAAATGATGGTCAACAATAGCACCTAGAGAAGTAATATTTTCCTACTTTTGAGTATTACTCAAGATAATAATTCACTTTGCTTGAGATCCTACTTTCTGAACACTGCCCCAGCTCCCCCAACCATCATATGCACACAAGAAGAAGAAGAAAGGTTTGTTAATATACAGGTTCAGTGTCTGGTGGCATCCATGGGCAAAGCCAATATTCAAAATGTTGTAACTGAAACATCATAACTACAGCAATGAGGCTCATGAGGAAATTTCATTGTTTTGATTGATTTGGAGGACCTTCACCGTATTTTCCTATAAAATGATCTTACACACTATTGGCGCGGTAAGGTAAAATTTCCAAACTACTGAAAATTGAGCAGTCAAATTACATTTGAGAGATGGAATGGACAGAACTTTGGTCTCCCTCTACGACCATACTTTAGCAAGTACGCTCCCTTCTTAAGTGCTGTTATGGCCTGTAAACGAATCCAAAGGAAATGTCATTTCATGAACTAGTATGTTCAGACAATAGAATAATCATACAACTGTAGAGACATGTTGAGGTTGCACGTTATATTTATGTTTATATCAGAATGCCAATAATGGATCAAACTGACCTATGTGCATAAAGAAAAGGAGTTTGAGTTAAAAAAGAAAATTGAACATTTTGAACATCTAGTAGCAACCATTTCCATGAACTAATAATTTATCCCAAAGAAAAATTGAAAATTACTAGAAACATAAGAAACCTGCTCAATATCCCTCTCGACGAGACCACTTCTCAGAGAATCAGCCATTCAAGGTGCTGGCCCACGCGTTGATGAAATACCCATATGAACATCGACCAGCCCCACTGTAATGCATACCAAAACAGAAACTCCAACGTTGCCCCATTCAAAAATCGTATTTCACCAACCTCCCACTCTAAAATTTGAAAGCATAAGCATAATGCTAAACCGCTCGTCAGAAATCAGAAGTCACAGCTCATGAACTTCGTCAGAAACCCCTAGGAATCACCAAATGCCAATAAAAAAACGCGAGAGGAGCCCCACAGACGACCTCCATTGAACAATGATCAGCTCAAAAACAGCTCAGTTCACTTCCTGGACAAAACAAAAACCCTAAAATTCCCAATACGCGTAAAAATCCTCCACAGGACTCCTCGATTAGCAGATAATAAGCATCCAGGAAGCACCATAAATCGAAGATGAGTTGAAAATAAAGCAACGGAGAGAGAGATTACCTACATTACATGAGATTGCAATGGATTAAACGGCAAAATTGAATCATATTGGGTTAAATTGGAACGTTGAGTAGCCAAATAATCGGAAACTAGTAAAGAATTCGCGCGGCAGAAAGATCGTGGATGAAAATAAGCTTGGTTCCAAGGCTTAAAGGAGAAAATGAGAATTTGCAGATTTCATGCGAGGATCATTAGCTTGTGCGCGCGCGCGCGCTCTTGCTCTTCGGTGGCTTTTACGTCTATCGAATAAATTCTCTGGTTTTCGTTTTTCTGTTTCTCTGTGGACGGAGAGCTTAACTGTCAGAGAGAATGAATCAGCAACTTAATTTTCGGGTTCTTGTTAAAAAGCGCGAAATATCCACGTCAGCAGCTGAATCTCCGTGATCCTGGGAATTTTCGGCTTCTTGTCCACGTCATCAACGGTCATTTTCAATTTGTTTGTCGGCTGCACACTCGAAGTTCAAACCTTTTTTTTTTTTAATAAAAAAAAGCTGTTTGTCGGAGGTTTACTTCGAAAAACTAATTTTAAAATTAATTAAAATAAATAATTAAATAATTTTATATGGATAAAAATTATTCTTTAATATACAAGAAAATTTAAAATATTCAGTAAAATTTGGAATATCTTACTTAGTACCGGCGCATTGAGAATAATAATGTCTTCACATGAAATTATCAACTAGAAGTAACATGAAAAATAGAAAACGAATATGCATTTATTGAGGCTAAGTGACAAAGAAATATAAGAGATAAAAGAATAAATATTGGAGATGCGGGGTATCGATCCCCGTGCCTCTCGCATGCTAAGCGAGCGCTCTACCATCTGAGCTACATCCCCAGTTGTGTTTTTCAATGACTTCAAAACATAATATAGTAACTTACCGTAGAGAAGAAAAAATCGAAATTGGAGATGCGGGGTATCGATCCCGGTACCTCTCGCATGCTAAGCGAGCGCTCTACCATCTGAGCTACATCCCCGAATGAGAAAATTTAATGTCTTAGAATGTAATAAATACTACTTGAGAAAAAATTAGAATTTAATTGATAATAATTATAATAGAAAATTATGAGAATAAAATATCAATTAATCGAAAAATAAAAGAAAAAACAGCAAGAGAAAAACGGAAAAAGTAAAAATAATGGGAAAATGAGAAAGAAAGCAAAATTATGGATAAACAAGAATACGCCATTGCAGCATTTCCACACATGGATTACCGGCTTACAGAGAAATTGAGAGGAGAGGAACATGATACAAGTCCATAAAAATTCATTACTAGCATTTGCAGGTATCATATTTATACAGACACCATAATTTTTAGTATATAAAGTCATCTTGGAACAACATGTAATTGTTGCTATTCCTTGATCTTTCTTCTCTATCAGCCTGCAAAATACACCAGCAAATTAACCCAACATCAGATTGCATTTTAGATCGCTACTCTTTTCTTTTCTTGGAATTTTATTTTATACTGGGGTTGAGTAAAAGTTAGCAAAACTGTGCTGATTTTAAAGAAACAATTGTACTTTTCGAAAAACAAACTCAAAAGAAGAAGAAGAAACAGAGCATCTCTATGGTGGGAATATATGTTACTTGCCTTGGTTATAAGCCTTTCAAACTCTTCTGTGCCATGTTCTTCAATATATTTCTCAGCAGCAGTGAGAATATCATCAGGTTTACTGAATATATTCTTCTTCCTGGGAACATACCAGATCTGACTAGCCTGTGGGTTTATATAAACAGGTCTGATGAATCGCCTGTAAACATGCGCTGCGCCATTGAAATGCGGCAACACCAACCAGCACGACACAATCAGCTTAGCATAAGGCCAAATGGGAAACCTGCAGAAACCATCAACACCACATTTTCTACTTCAAATTTACCAGATCTCTCTACTCTCTGCTTCGTAAATTACAATCCAGGAACTTCCAGATCAGATAAATTATAATTCAGATTTTTAAACGTTAAGGAAATAAATCTCTAATATACATGCAATCACATAGAGTAAAAAGTAAAATAAATAAAAAATAAAAAATTTAATGTGGTTAGACAAATATATCTATATCTACAGATAATACCAAGAAGAAACTCTATTATGATAAAAATGAGAGTTCATCACTAATAGAGTTGTAAACTTTTAAACAGTTAAGGTAATATGATTTCCTCCTAAAATATTTTCCAGGATATGCACATAATATTTCCTAAAACATACATAAATTATTCCAAGAATCAATCTAAGATCTTTCAGATCACATAAATTACAATCCAGATTTTTAAATGCTAAGAAAATAAATTCTCAATATGCATACAATCACGTAAAAGCAAAGAATAAAATAAGGAAAAACACAAAATTTTACAATAAATGTACTTAAGACCAAAAATTTTTTTTATGCTATGATAAAAATGAAAGTCAATCACTGATAGGTTGTAAACTTCTTTATAGATAAAGTAGTAAGGTTTTTCTCCAAAATATTTCCTAAAATATACATAAAATATTCCAAGAATCGAACCACATTGTTGAAGTACATGCACACACACACACACACATATATAGATATACAGGCATCTGGTGGTCAGATGAACAGATTGCTTACCATTCAAGGACTTTGGCAAATGTAAGTTCAAAGAGAGTGATTAAAGAGTAGAGAACCCAATAGGTAAGCCATTGCTGGTCATCGGCTATAGATTTGGTTTCTATAGCCTTAATTGAAGCATATCTGATAAACTAACACACTCTGTATAAGATTACTCTAAAACTCTGTAAATTAAAGAGTGATAAATGGAAAACAGTAGAAAACTAGACTTACAGAGGGTAAACAAGAGTGACTACAGGCCTACAAATCAGAAACAAAGAATTCGAGTCAGAACTCTGTATGATAAACTAAGCTTGTCGATCTATTAGACGATCGGAGATATATATATATATATATATATGTATCTATGGAGGTGAAATCGGACATACAGAGCAAGAACATCAAAGTTCTTGGCGACAACTTGGAGAAAATTATTGGAGGAACTCATGTGCTGAATCCGAGCGAAAATGGTTGGTTGTTGATTAGTTGTTTGTTTCAGAGAGAAGATTAAGGAGTGATGAGAGGGAACAAGAAAAAATGGGGATGGGAAAAAGCAAGAAGACAAGAGGAAAAAGGAAGAAAGGAAAGGAAAAATGTTTTCGTTTGGACTTTCTGGGTAGCAATTGATTTTCCGGGAAAATCTAATTTGCACGAGAAAAGAGGCACCGAATTTTGAATTCATTGACTGTTCGCCAATTATAAGTTGCCACCTCAAACGGGTCGGGTCATGGATATATATACATGCACTACATGTCATCTACACGTATACATGTATTTTTATTTTATTTTATTTTATTTTTAAATTATTGGGGCCAAACGTTTTTTTCCCTCTTAAATAGTAGTGTACATGGTTATTGTAAAATAAATTTTATTTTATATTTTTAATAAATATATTATTATCATTTTCTTTACAAAAAAAAAATATAAATTTATGAAAAAAATTAATTTACAAAAAAATTGAAAGAGCTATGAATTGAGTAAATATGATTAAGTCTCTTTTAAAAATAATTAATAATTAATAATTAAACAAGCATGTTGATTAGACTCATTAATACAATAATAATTGCGTGCCGAATGCTGTATTAATTCTTATATAAACTCATGCCAGCAGGATGTATACATATAAATTGTTATTGACATGAGATGGTGTATCCAACACAAACTCAGACAGTACTGGAAAGCATTTCAAGTTATTATATGTCCCCATAATGCATCATATATATATATATATATGTATATGCATGTACACATAAAATTTCATACTCAAAAGCATGACATGTATATTTATATATATATATATATATGTATAATAAAGTTGCTAGTTTAAAAGTCATGTCTTTAACATTTATCGTGATTTAAATTCTATTATTAAAAAATTAATGAAGTTTAACTTTTTTCGGTATAAAGCAGATGTTGAGCTTCAAAATAAATTTTTGAGTCATTGATAATTATTTTAGAATGATCGAGAAGTTTTCTATTAATTATATAAATTGATCGATCATATCAGGTAGACGTACAAATATGTTTGTAGATTTACTAGACATATTAAGATATGATATCAATGATTTGTATTAGAATATAACTTCAATAATTTATCCATACAAATAGATTTAGATTTGAATGATTTTAAGAGATTTACATACTAAGTTTTAGCCATTTCATACCTATATTTATTTCTTGTATTGTATACATATAGATATTCATATCAAATCAATG